GTGGCCCAGGAGTGGGGTGCATGCAGGGGCTTGTCTGGGGCTTGGGCCTGCACAGGACTTCTCAAGTTGTAGTTTCTCCCTCTGTAAATGGGAATCATGAGACCCGGCTCCCATATGACAGAGGGACTGGATGGGTCCAATGGGAGTGCTGCCAGCTCTTTGCAAGATTACCAAGGCACCACACTTGTTGCCATGGAAAATGCAGAAGGCGGAGGGTCTGAGCTCAGATACTGGCTCTGGCCTGTATGGCTGAAGAACTGGGCACCACCCATTCATTTTTCATAACCTGGTCTGGAATGGAGATGATGAGCCCCAGAGGGTAAAGGAGGCTTGGCCAAAGTCAGATGTGAAGGAGCTTTGAAATGCAACAGAGCGCTGTCCACCCAGAGGCCATGGTGAAACTCCAGCTTTGGACTGGGCCATCTTCAGGGCCCACCTCGCAACAGAACCCTAAGTGGAAGGTGTATTTTGGAAGAGGCAGGCAGAGGGTGATTATGTGGGTCAGTTCTTGGACAGGCTTCTCTCAGGAAAACAAATGGGCAACTCAAAAGCATACTCTGCCAGTGTCCTTGCTAACCTGGTTGCTGAGTCTGCTTAGCTCCACTCAGAACCCTCCCCGCCTCTGTGGTCTCTAGAGTATTTCCAATTCCACTGACCTGGTAGGCCTTTCCTTCCAACCCTGGGGTATTTCCAAGGACGCTGTGTCCTCTCAATAAAGGAGGTCTGTCCACAGGGGTCAGAACTTCACTGTCACTGATCCTGCTCAGGAAAGACCTGTGCAGACCTGAATGGAGAGGGATTTGCATGGTCAAACCAACCAGCCATGGGATCATGTTTTGCCCTTGCACAGAGCACTTCAGGGCCTCTGGAACATTTCCCTTCTTACATCCCAGTTCTTTCCCTCTACAACATCCCAGGAAGGAAGAGTGAGCAAGAAATAGAGCAGGTAGGGAGGAGGAGATACAGCCCGTTGGGGGGGGGGGGTGAAGCCCTGGGTGATGCAGAGTACGTCCATGGTGTTGGCTAATTAGACAATATTTATAATTGGGTTTTATATATTTAATAATTTGTGTTTATGTATATTGTATAATTTGTATATATTTAATAATTTGGGTTGTATATATATATTTTTTTAATTTCTTTTAGTGGTTGATGAACCTTTGTCTTATTCGTTTATTTATATACATTGCTGAGCATCGAACCCAGTGCCTCACACATGTGAGACAAGTGCTCTACCACTGAGCCCCAGCCCCAGCGCTGTATATTTATATATACTTTAAAAGTAGGACTGGCGTGTAGTTCAGTGGCAGAACACTCACCCCGTTGGTCATGGCCCTGAGTTCAACCTCCAGCCCACCCCCCAATATAAATAAATAAATAATAAAAATAGAGAGATGTGGTTTTTTTTTTTTTTCTGTAATGTTTTAAAGGGACTTGGTCAAAAGGCAGTTGGTTTAATGGAATCTGGGAGAGCTGAAGCTGGTGTGTAGTTGGCCATGAAAACATTATGACCTCTGCCAAGTCTAGCACCATCTCCCCTCCCAGCCTTGGGGAAGGTCATTTCTCCGCAGATGCAGGAGGAAGGAGCTGGACAGATGGTCTCTGAGGATCCACCAGCTTGAATTTAAGACAGTGACTCTTATTTCCTCAGTGACTTAGCCACACCTCCTATTCCTCAGGAATGAAAGAAATGTTGCCACACGCTGTATAGACCAGAGCTGCAGGGTGCTGCTCCCACAAGCATGGGAAAGTGAGCTTGTAGAGATGAAGTGAATTGCCCTGGGTGCTGGCCCATGCCTGGAATCCTAGTGGCTCAGGAGGCTGAGGCAGGAAGATCACAAGTTCAAAGCCAGCCTCAGCAACTTAGCAAGGCCCTTAGCAACTTAGAAAGACCCTGTTTTTAAATAAAATATTTTAAAAGCTTAGCTGGGGATGTGGCTCCATGATTAAGTTCCCCTGGGTTCAATCTCCAGAACACACACAAAAAGAACGAAGTGAATTGAAATGCCACATGCTGTGGCTCACAGAGACGATGGTCCTGGACACAAGTTAAGAATATGTGGAGCCAGCTGGAGCAGTCCCAGCTACTCTGGAGGCAGGAAGACAACTTAAAGCCCAGAAGCTGGAGGCCATCCTGGGCAACAAAGCAAGGACCCAGCTCAGGAAAAAAGGAGAGAGAGAGAGAGAGAGAGAGAGAGAGAGAGAGAGAGAATGTGGAAATGCTTGTTATATATAGTGGGAGAAAAACTATGTGAATAATTTAATTATATTTCATTAGAAATATATATTATTATATATGTTTCAGAGGTCTGTTTAGTAACAGTTCATAGAAGTGCTGTTTTAGGGATAGAATTATGGAACTTGTGTTTTTTGAAAATTTATCTATGATAAACACATTTTTGCTTTTTTTTTTTTTTGGTTCTGGGAGTGAACTTGAGATGTGGCGGAGGGAGCACTGAACCGCTGAATAACATCCCCAGCCTTTTTAGTTTTTATTTTGAGATGTGGCCTTGCAGAGTTACTGAGGCTGGCCTCAAACTTGTGATCCTCTTGCCCCAATCTTCCAAGTAGCAGGGATTACAGGAGCACATCACTGTGCCTGGCTTACATTTTGTTATTCAAGCATGTAAAAGACTATAAAATGTTATTTATACAGTTTTGGGGAGATGAAGAGACCTCACTTAAAAAGACTTGGGGTAACTGTCCCTTCAGATATTATCATAATTCATTTGAAACAGTTTAACATAAAAAAAAAAAAAAAAAAAAAATCCTGACTACTATCTCCACTAGAGGGCACTCTTCTCCAATTGCTGGGGGTTTATTTATTTATTTATTTTTAGGTGTGAATGGACACAATACCTTCATTTTGTTTGGTTTGGTTCCTTTTTTTTAATGTGGTGCTGAGGATCAAACCCAGTGCCTCACATGCAAGGCAAGTGCTCTACCACTGAGTTACAACCCCAGCCCCGATGATGGAGATTTTTAAAGGCAGTTCTAAAGTTTTACTTCAATCCACTTGGGGAACTCAAAACCTATTTATGTTTGCTTTCTTATTTGTTTGGCTTTAAATAAACTTTTTATTTTGGAATAATTTTAGGTGTACAGAAAAGTTTCAAAAATTAGTACAGAATTCCTTTATGCCCTTTGCCCAATTTCCCTAATATTCGCTTACATAACCTTCCTACATTTATCAAAATTAAGAAATTAGCACTGGTACATTACTTTTAACTAAACCACAGGTTTTGTTTGGATTTCACCAGTTTTTCCACTAATGTTCTTTTTTCTATTCTAGGCTACAATCCAGGACACCATATTGTATTTAGTAATTTTTTTAAATAAACAAATATACACTAACTGTAATAATCATAAATTACCATTTACATTTTGCATGAATACCTGTATTTTCCCAGAAAGGTGAAGGTTAGTATTTTTATTTAATTTCTCTTATTAGCCACCAGGTGCAGTGGTGCACACCTGTGATCTCCACAACTCAGAAGGATGAGGAGGCTAGCCTCAGCAACTTAGTGAGACCCTCACTAATGTAATAAGACTCTGTCTCAAAATTAAAAAATAAAAAAGACTGGGGATGTAGTTCAGTGGTAAAGCACCCCTGAGTTCAACCCCCAGTGGATAAATAAATCATTTCTCTATTTCCATGACCTTTGTAAGTTATTGAACTTTTTCAACCCCTACTTTACATCATCCGCATTTCTGTTTTTTTGTGGTGCTGTGGAAACACCATTTATGTTCAGTTTATGTTCCTGCAGCAGATGTCAGCAAAAGAGTAATGCTAGCTGGGGGTGTAGCTCAGTGGTAATAAGCATGTGCTTATTAACATCTATGAGACCCTAGTTTCATCCACAACATCCCACCCCTCAAAAAAGGTGAATGCTGGGGCTGGGGTTGTGGCTCAGCGGTAGAGCGCTCACCTAGCACCTGCAAGGCCCTGGATTCCATCCTCAGCACCACATAAAATAAATAAATAAAATAAAGATACTGTGTCCAACTACAACTAAAAAATAAATTTAAAAAAAAAAGTGAATGCTAAGGAATTGCCACTGGTTTTGCTAGATATAATCACAGCATTATGCTTAGAACTTTTAAAAATGAGTCTTTATCTATGAGATACATTCTAGAGTAGTTACAAATGAAATTATTTACTTTAAAATACTTTAGCAAATGAAAAGATTTGGGCACTAGATCAAATAAAATGGATTTATCCATTAGTGTTCATTAGATTACTCTTTTACTTTTCTGTGTGATTGAAAGAAGCTGTTTGAAATGAAAATTTGAAGGAGTTGAACAGCAGAGTCTTTGTTTTCATGTGACAATGACCCCAGATCTTGTGCACAGTTCATATTGGCAGCTAGTAAGGTTAACAGATATTTCACAGATCAGCCTAACACGTCTGCAGTCCCCAGCTCTGTGTCAGAAATACAGGGCTCCCAGGCTGCACAGGCGCGCTGGAAGAGGGAGCGCTGACCTTGGTGCCCGTGCTCCAGGAACTTGAGTCAGACATACTTGAGGCTTGGAGTAGAACCAACCCTGCAGTAAATGCTGATTAAAACTGAATCTTGGCTGGTAGCAAACACCCCGTATTTCAAGGTGGGGATTTTATTTGCATCTCTCTTTCTTAGTTTTATGGGTTTGTGTTGAATCATCTCAGCCATGTGGTTAGCTTTATTATTATTATTACTGTCCCTAATAACACTAATTTATAGTAATATTAATTTAAAAATCTCTACAGTCATTTTTCCCAGGGCCTGCAACCCTTTTTAGTAATCGTGATTATTCTTTTGATCATTTAACTAACCTGTCACTGCTAATAACTGCTGCTTTTCTGCTTGCTGAAATTGGCTGTCCCTTTGCCTCTAAACCATCTGAGGGTCTGTCTCCTGGCTCCCTGAGCAGATGGGCTGGCACTGAGCTCTGCTCTGCTGTGCTGTGTGATGATAGCAAAATCAGTCCAACATTTTTCTGTCTCTCTTTTTATCCTGCAGCAGAAGTATTGGGAGGCCCTAAACTCGGAGCAGGTATGGACAATCATGCTGTCTCTCTCTTCCAGGAGGGACTTCTATGGCTTGATTTCAGCTTTTGTTTTTGTTAGAGGCTCTCGGATGATGGCACATGACAAAATCCATTAAAAAAAAAAAAAAGATGTAAAAAGCAAGAGACAAGTTTGAGGACTAGCCGGGCTCTCTTAGTTCAGAGTCTTTTGCTTTGGGGGTATTCACATAAGCCCATACTATCCACTAGGGACTCAGAAAACAGGCATAACCCAGTGAAGATCCATGGATTGGAACAGGGCCTGCCTATGAGCAAGCGAGAGTTGCCGTAGGTCACCAATGGTAGTGCTGGTGTGACATGGCTGCAGCAGCTGATATGATAAACAGTTCCACACATTTGTCTTTCTGAGACCTGGGGCACCTGGTTGCTGTCACCATGCCATCTTTGCCTCGCAGTAGCAGATGAGCACGTGTTTTATGACAACTGCCTGTGCCTGTCATCTCCCAGGATGGTTTCTGAGAGGAGAATAAATGCATTATCTTTTGTTCAAATTATTTTTATGACTGGTTTCCCACAATATTTTTATTACTTAAAGTGAAGTTTTAACTGGGCACAGTGGCACTACCTTTAATCGCAGTTACTTGGAAGTCTGAAGCAGGAGGCTCACAAGTTCAAGTCCAATCTCAGCAATTTAGCAAGACCCTGTCTCAAAATAAAAAAATAAATAAATAGGGCTGGGGATATAGCCCAATGGTAGAACATTTGCCTAGCATGTATGAGGCCCTGGATTCAATCCCGAGTACCATGCGGGAGAAAATGAAGTTGGTTTTTTGTTTGTTTGTGTTTCCTTCCTTCTTTTCTTCTTCTTTTTTTTTTTGTACCAGAGATTGAACCCAGGGGCATTCAACCACTGAGCCACATCCCCAGCCCATTTTATTTTTTATTTTGAGAGAGGGTCTTGTCAAATTGCTGAGTGTGGCTTTGAACTTGTGATTTTCCTACTTCAGCCTCCAAGCCCCTGAGATTACATATGTGGCAATAAATGAAGTTTTAAAACATATTATTCAAAAGAAAGGGATTTAAAATATTGTCTAATACCTAGTTCATTTCAAAGAGTTCACTTGATCAAAGTGGCAGGTTGTTTCTGTTTGCGAGCAGCTGATTTGGTCAGGATTAGCAAGAATAACTTTTAAGAAGTCATTTCAGCAGTTGGAGCCATAGTTCTCAAACATCAGAGCATCTAAGAAATATCATAGGAACTTGTTAAAATGCCAAACCGCAGGTAGGAGCTGAGGTGAGTCCTCAGCATCAGTCTTTTTGAACAGTAGCCCAGGTCCTTCTGGTGGGGTTGGTCCAGAGTACCTTCTGAGAACTCTGATGTAGGACCCAGGCTTCAGCTCCAAAACAGCCTTCATCAGAGAGCACACTTCCATCCTCTGAGAATGGAATGGGCCCATACTTGTGCCACTGGGCAAGTGGGTCACAGAGGCTGGCCAGCGAGCTCTTTTACTTGGAATCTTTGATAACATCAGGGAAGAATTTACTTAAAGGTGTCCAGCCAAGTCTATAACCACAAGTAAATAAGGAGTTCACACCAGGAGTGGCTGTTACAGCGGGCAGAACTGCATCAACTAATCCAGCTCATCCCCAGGCCTATAGGGTCACTGGGGTCTTTTTAACATGATGGCTTTTTAAATCATCAAGTAATAGAAGTTGGTTGAATTATTATCAGTGAATTTCTAATTGAACCAGCTTTTCTTTTCAAAACAGAGACATAATGTGTGTTTTATAACTGGCATGACATGGATGTTATTTGGGAGACCTTATTTGGGACCTCTAAGAACTAGACTGTTTGATTCAGCTCAAGTTTGAACATCTGGCAGAGTGTCTTTGTCAGACATAAATCTGGGGTCTATGACCTCTGTCCAAATACATAATCCAGCCTAGTCTGCCACATTTTCCATCACTGTTGCTTGTTTCTGTGTTTCCCAGTACTGTCAAATGTGACCTCATGGCTCAAAATCATCAGTCATAGAGGCTCAGAAATGGAAGAGGTCTTATTATCTAATTGTTGATCCAACCCTCAGCTTATGTACAGAGAAACTGAGGCCCAAAGAAGAGCAAGCAAGTTTGTGACAGAAGGAAGACTTGGCCCAGTCCCCACTTGCCTCTGGAGCTGTAACATCAAGGGTAGCACTAAGAATCCCTTGGGTCTTGACCATGTGCAAAGTTCTCTCTCTAATCCATCATCTGCAAATACCTTCATAAAGGCTATGTTCCAGCTTTTTTTTTTTAACTTTTTACCCTTACCCTTGAAAATTTCAATTTTCCATACTTATCTGAGTCAGATTATGAAATATTAACTGGCAGTGCCCACCATTCTGAATTGGGTTTTAAGTGTTTATTTTTTCAGTGCCAGGGATTGAACCTGGGGGCACTTAAACCACTGAGCCACATCCCCAACCCTTTTATTTTTTGAGACAGGGTCTTGCTAAGTCTCTTAGGGCCTTGCTAAGTTGCTGAGGCTGGGTTTGAACTCATAATCCTCTTGCCTCAGCCTCCCAAGCTGCTGGGATTGCAGACATGCACTTATACCAGGCACAGTGCCTGAAGTGTTTATTTTTAACAAATCTTCTGGACCTCAAATTGAGAGGAAACACCAAGTGAGAGCCCTGCTCTTCAGGAGTTCATCATCTCCCTAAGAGAACAAGGCAGATGTCCAAAGAAAGACTGAGGCCATCCATGTGCAGGTACGGATGAGTAGCAGATGTAATACTAAGAAAGGAGCAGGTGCAAGCTCACTGGGCTAACACAGCCAAGGCAGGCTTCCTGCCAGAGGAGGTATTTCCTCTCAAGAGTGGGTTGAGGCCAGGTATGGTGGCACTTGCCTCAATCCCAGCTACTCAGGAGGCTGAGGTGGGAGGATGAAAAGTTCTAGGCCATCCCAGGCAACTTAGCAAGACCTTGTCTCAAAATAAAATACATAAAATAAAAAGAGGGGCTATAGGTCACCAGCAGAATGCTTGCCTAGTACACATGAGGCCCTAGGTTCAATTCTTAGCATCACCAAAAAACCAAAGAATGGGTTTTTATTGGTCTTTTCCAAGAATGAATTAGGCATGGAGGTAGACATTTTCAAGATAAAGGGATCGTGTCTCAGACTCACTAGATAAGAATTTGCTGAATATGGGGGACAGTAGAAAGGAGGTGGCAAGGGAAATGGGGCTGGTCTGTTCAGGGTAATGGTTCATTAATTCCTTGATTTAAAGGTGTACTTGCTCCCTTTAGGTGCAGGAAACAGAGGCCTGGTTAACTTGACCTCGCCCAGTTGTCCTTATCTTTGCCTGTGTCAGAACTAAGATTGAGTTGTTGTTTAGGGTGCGGGATAGTAATAGATTGAAAGGACCTGTCCCACCAAAATATCTTTGTGTCTTTTCTTCACAGTGGGATCCTGAAGATGTCAATTTTGAAAGGAACAATGACAACATGGAGACCTTCAGATTCCAGGTGCCGAGGGGCTCTTCGACGACAGTAGACTTCAGCTCTGCTGATTAGTATCTTCTAAAAACCAGTCCATCAGCTCAAAGACTAGGATGAGGCATTCATCAGTAAAACTGAGCAGAGATCGGACCTACAGTGACACCCATAGCAGGGATTTAAGCCACTGAAGAAGCTGCCCAGGGAAGTGAGGAACCTGGAGCTGAGCGTGGCTGGTTTACCTGGCTCCGAATAAATCTAAGATTGTGGGTTCTATGGACAGACCTGGATATGCCATTTGTTCTGAAGATTAGAAGCTCACAGATGGCTCCTGCTTTGTAAAGATAAGCCTTCATCCAAAGGACAATGGGCCCTCTTTTCCCGTCTTTCCTTTCCCTCTATTCCCATGAAATGCAACTGTAAACTCAGTATCTGCTGGATGCCAGGAATGAGTTCACCTAACAAATAGCTCATGTGTTTGGACCTCAGCAGAGCCTGTCCTGCAAGCCCTGGCTTCTGCCCTCCAGTATCTGCTGGAAGTTATCCATAGGACTGCTTGGTCAACCAAGTATCTGTGAGATCAGTGGTATGGCAAGCACAAGCAAAAAAACAAAAGAATGGGTTTTTATTGGTCTTTTCGAAGAATGAAAAGCAAGAGAACTTCCTCCAGCCTGGCAACGCGTGTGCGGAGGCAGGGTTTACAGGTGAGGGGCACTGTGTGCTTTAGGAGGTCACTGAGAGCATACAGAGGGTAATAGGTATGCTGGGACATGTTAATTCAAGCACAGTAACCCCATTTGAAGATGAATGGTAGTGTGACCACATGTGAGGGGAAAGGTGAAGGGAATGGGGCTAAGGTCGGAACCACTAGAGTGAATAAAATTTAACTGAGTGAATCAAAGCATCTCACACTGGAATATAGTGGTAAGTCAGAATCCCAGCAGAGCCACAGAAGTCTGCCATGAGGGGGTCTGGGATAAATGCCAAGAAACACAGCTCTGCTGATGGCTGGCTCACAGTGACCTGTGACTCAGCTGCAGCTGCCCAGTTTCTCCTAAGGGCATGTGCAAGTCCCGGCAGCAGGAGGAAGGGGGTGCTGGGAAAGTGGGTTGGTTCCACAGGTCTCTGCATAGATCCTAATCCCCTGGGTGACCTCTGAACTAGCAGAAAACTCAAAGCTACTTTATTTATTCCATTTATCTGCTTTGGGTTCCTGGTTGTCTTATCAAAGAACGATTGCTAAAGGCAACTTTGTTTTGTGGGGTCTTAGCCAATGTAGCTATACTTTGAAGGAGGAGGAAGAGGTGAATAGAGGCCCAAAGCAAAGGAAGTTGAAGGGAACATGCCAGTAAGTGAAATGGTAGAAGCCTGGGGGCAGGGAAGGGTGGAATCTAGTTGATGGTGCAGTGTGGATTGTAGAGGGTAGAAGACACTGGAAAGGAACTGGAGCATGGAGGCTAGGGAGTGGGTGCTTCAGTCTGTGGCTGATGCTAGCCATGGAAGATACCAAAGGGTGACTCACTTGCTCAGGGGCTCAGATACTCAGTGAGTTTTTTACTTCTATTGCCACAGCTTTTCAGGAAACAGAAATGTATAGTCATGTATGGAGTGAACATGGGGAACGTGTTTCATTTAAAGACTATTGAGTGGTAACCGCAAGCAGGAGGAGGGATCAGCTTTAGAAAAGCAGAAGGCATAGGGATAGGATGACATTTCTGAAGTTCACGTTTAGCATGTGCACACACACTCACAAACATTTTCTCAAAGGGAGATTGGATCATGCTCCCTGGGGTATCAGAATCCCTTGAGTCCTCATAGGAATGGCCATTCTCAAGAACACTAAATGATCTTGCTGCCTTGGAGTAGCACAAACTATTTCAGCTCCAGATGTTATTTATCTCCCTATATCCTATCATCCCAGTCTTTTCCCTTCACAAACCAGTTACTATCATTATGGTCCCAGATTGTCTCAAGTCTCTTCATCCACAGTAAACCACCCTGGGAGTTTAGGAAGTAAAGTTTGGCTTTATTGTTTAGTGAGAACCTGCCTGTATGCAAAGCTCTAGAACCCCAGGACCTTTGTAAAGAGGTACCAACCAAAACGACTTTCTCCTAGTAGGAGAGCAGCTTCATTTTTAGCTATTACTCTGGCCACAAAGACTATGGAAGGTCCTTGCCCTGAGGACCCACTAAGCAGTGCAAAGAATTACCTCCATTGGAAGGGCTGGGAACAAACCATGCAACCATCCTATCCAGAGAAGAGATGGTGTAATATGTCTTAATTGTCTTACCTATTATCTACATGGCCCAAAGCATGTTACCTAACCTTTGTGAACTCTTAAGGCAGACTAGGAAACCTCCCTAGAAAGCTTAAGGTAATGACTAAGTGAATTAACATAAATGAAGTGCCTTATACCTGACTAACAGCAGATTTTGAAGAGTGATTAGTTTCCCTCCTCCCTATATTTTTGGACACATGTGCTGAAAGACAGTGAAACCAAAGAATCAGATCCACAGATGGAAGGGATTTCAGAGATTTGGATCTCCTTAAGAATAACCACAATAAGTGATTATCCAGCCCCTGCTTAAACTCATCTAAAGAAAACAAAAACAGAGATTTCATCTGCCAAAGAAGTTTGTATAACTTAGGGAGAGTTCTGATGACTCTAATTTTCTAAAGAGCCTGTATAGAGCCTGAAGAACTAGTTTTCTTATGTCCCTCTGATAATTCAGTAAATGCATCATCTGATGATATATTCACATCATGTTTGTTACAGTAGACATGAGCTATAGTTTAAGGAGAGGCATTGGGCCAAGGAGTATGATGAGGCTCCATTTCCCAGGTCTGATTCAGTGTAATATTTGTCATTTCCCTTTCTGGGTCAGTCTCCTCATTTATAAAATGAAAGCTAGGTTAGATTTATTTCCTTTTTTCTTTTTTTGTGAATATGCCAGTTAGTATGTTTCCCACAGACAAATGGACATTTTTATAAACGCTCAGAAAAGAAACATAATGTTAAAGACAAATTTCAGATATGCCTTGAAGATATCCATTTAAGATGAATACTGGTGCTGGGGTATGTGATTGGCATGTGCAAGGCCCTGGGTTCCACCCTCAAAACACACACACACACACACATACATACACACGCACTCCATTACCATACTTCCCAAATTCTCTGCACTCCTTTTTCTGCCCTTTACCATTCTCCTTCAAATTTTCCAACTATGCAGGCACTGACCTATTCTCTTCGACTTTGTTTTTTCTGAAGTTAAGGTCAATGCCCTGGCAGAGGTGGCTGTTTTGAATGAACCCAAGCTATACTGCAGTGCCCAGGAAGAACTCTTCAAGAAGTTTACATATGCCTCTCCTAGTATTCAAGAGTCATCATGTGAGAGGGACGATCTTAAGAAGTTCAAGAACGATACTAGATAAAATTACTTAGAAGTCTAATCTGCTTTTTCTTGATACCTAACCTTAAAGCCAAACAAACCATGGGACATTCGGGACTGCTCCTTTCCAGCAGGGCAAGTCATTAACCAGCGTTAAGTTTCAAGAACCTCCGTTGATTGATTGCCTGGAGAATTCGGCACGCCCTCCCAATTCCCTTGGGCATTTTCCATCAGCGCTGGGTACTGGCAGGAGGCTCAGGTCTCCTCTTGCTAGTCCTCACTCAGGGTCTGCAGCTATGACGGCTGAGGGGTCTGTCTCCTGCAGAGCGCCTTCTCTCGGCAGTCCCCAGGGGGATCGTTCACAACCGCCTGAGGGCCAGTCGATGGCCTCCCCAAAAGAAGGGTGGTGGCCCATTGTCCATATGAGTGGAAACTGAACCACGTCTCCCCACGCCTACCTCTTGGGAGAACCGGCCATCGGCAGATAGCAGGTAGCCCATTCAAACCACTCACCTCGTACTTCCGGGAAGAGGGGAAGAGGCGCAGCCCTGCGCCTGCGCACTCCGCAGCCACCGTCTCCCCCTGGGAGTGCGAGTCCCGCCCCCGCGGAGTCCGCCGCTTTCGGGCTCCGGCCCGCGCAGCCGCGGCCCGGGAGACCACCAGCGGCTGGTAGTTGCTGTCAGTCTGTCTCCTCTGAGTTTTTAGGGAGTTAGTCACATAGTCATTTTTTTGGTTCCTAGTGTAGTTAGGACCAATCAACAGACTTAGCCTGCACTGTAAACCATTCTTTAAGTACACTAAAAAAATTTTTGAAATAAATATAATACAGGTGCGTGGTTTAAAAAAGAAAATCAGATCCGACCAAGTTTATGAAGAACAACAATTCCCTGGCCCTCCGTTCCCAACCTGCTTACTTCTTTCCTTCCTCGCAATCACACTTGCTCATGTTCCCAAAGTGTTTTGTCCAACTGTCTTCTCCATTGATTTTTTGTTTTGTTTGTTTTGCTGGTGTGAAACCCTGGGCCTCACACAAGCACATAGGGCTCTATTAGTTTTGAATTGGAACCCAGCTGCTGTCAACAAAGTTCTAAGATTATAGTTTTTTAGCTAAATTATCTCTAACTTCCATTAACTACAGGCTAATGAGGTTCAGTAGGTGGGACAGGGATACTGGCATGTTGAGAATGGTGTTAAGAACTGTCTACACATCTGCAGGTTACTGCGGAGTCCTCTGTACCACTAGAACCCAGTTTCTGAGTCCCAGGTTACTGGATCTGAGCCCACTCCAACTGACATCTGCCTTCAGGACAGCCTGGCAAGTTCTACCTATCTACTCTGGATTTGACCTTTCCCTCTATCCCTCTACCTCTTCTCCTGCAGATATCTTAGCCCTTGGAATCTCCTGTGGAAAACAGGGTTTTCTAACCCCACCACCAGAACAAAGGACTGTGTACACTTTCACCACCACAGTCTTTCCCAAGGACAGCCTGGCCACGTGTGAAGAGAGCCATTTCATAGGCCTAATGTTTTAACCATCACACTTTGTGAAATGTGTACCCTAAAGCTCTGATATTCAAATATAGGTTCTTAAGCTCCAGCCTAGGTCTGGACAGGGCCTGGGAATCTTAAGCTCCTCAAGTGATTCTGTCACAGAGGATAGAGGACCACTCTTTGAGAAACACTGTCCTTAGGAAATCAATTTAAAACTGATCTATTTGTGTAAGAAGATGTTCCCATGAAACTACTTAAAATAGGGGGGGAAAGTGATAAGTACCCCATGATTGGGAAACATTAAACATTACACCTTTATTTTTTTGTGTGTGCAGTATTGAACCCAGGATTGAACCCAGGGGCTCTCTGGGCTAAGTTACATCCCTAGCCCTTTTAATTTTTTGAGACAAGTTCTCTATAAGTGGCCTGGCTGACCTCAAACTTGTAATCGTCTTGCTTCCCAAGTAGTTGAGATTACGTATGTGAGATATCATGTTCAACTAAATAGAATAATTTAATGAAATTACATTTTGCCTTGAAGTCTAAAAGATTGTGGGACAATAAACTGAGGCACATACCTGAATTGCCTTGAAATTATTTGGTGCGATGCCAGAGTGCAAGTTATTCTGATAATGAATTTCTAGTTCTCACATGGTGAAAAAAAATCCTTTTTTAAAAAAAAATTTTTATTGTGGTGGTGGTTATAAAGTTGTATGTATGTTTGAGCTTCTGAGGAGGCAGGATTGAGACACTGAAAGGCTGAACCAACTCCGCGTGAGCAGAGTGGCAGAGGATGTTTTTGATAGCACCCCTAACCAGGAAACAGATTCCTGTGGGCAAGCAGTGACTCACCCCCCAGTCTCAGTGAGTCAACAGTGTCCTAAGGGAGCCAGGGCTGGCAGCCTTCTGCTGCAAGGGATGTAAGCAGGGCCTAGACTTAGTCCAGGATATCAGTGTGACAGATCAGGGGTGACAGAACAGATCCCAAGGAGTGGAAAGGGAGCTGAATCCTTTGAATGGGTCAGGTTAAAAAAAAAAAAAAACTACAGAATAAAGCAAGTTAAAAAAGAGAGAAAGAGAGAGAGAACACAAGCCAGGGCAGTGGAGCATGCCTATAATCCCAGCAGCTTGGAGGCTGAGGTAGGAGAATCTCAAGTTCAAAGCCAGAGTCAGCAATTTTTGGACGCCCTAAAGCAACTTAGCAAGACCCTGTCTCAAAATAAAAAATAAATCAAAAGGATTGGGAATGTTGCTCAATGGTTAAGCACCCCTGGGTTCAATCCCCAGTACCCACTCCCCCTATAAAAGATAGAACACAAGAGAGCATGTGCCATTATTAGTAATTACAAGAGAAAATTCATTAGTATCAGAAATCATTAGATTCCATGATAGATTATGTGGAAGTTGGTATAGTGGCACACACCTGTGATCTCAGTGACTTGGGAGGCTGAAGCAGAAGGACCACAAGTTCAAAGATAGCCTCAGCAATTTAAGGAGGCCCTAAGCAACTTTGTGAGACCCTGTCTCTAAATAAAATATTTTTAAAAGGGGTAAGAATGTGGCTCAGTGGTTAAACAGCCCTGTGTTCAATCCCCAGTATCCCCGCCCCCCAAAAAAAATTAAGGAAGGGGGCAGAATTTTTCCAGAGTTCTTATTCTGAATAAGAAAAAGGGCATTTGAAAAACAGCTGGGGTAGGGATGGGAGACAGTGTTGGAGATAGATTTAAGTGGCAGAGGGCTTGCCAATCATGTACAAGGCCCTGGGTCCAATCCCTGGCACCAAAATTAAAAAGAAAAATAGCCAGGCACGATGGTGCAGATTCATGGTCCCAGCTACTGGAAGGACTGACACAGAAGGATCACTTGAGCCCAGGAGTTTGAAACAAGCTCAGTCAAACCCTGTCCTTAAGTGTGTGTGTGTGTGTGTGTAAGTATATATAAAAAATATATAAATATATAATTTTTTCAGGTTTATGTGGAGTGAGAGCTATTAAAAGCACATGTGTCCAAAGGGGACAATTAGTGAACCTAGGTGAAAAGTCTAAACATGTTCATGGTGTTATTCTTTCATCATTCCTGTGGGTTTGAAGTGCTTCAAAACAAGGCATTGGAGAAAGTATAGCAGTGAACAGACTCACAATTGGCCTCCTTGTTGAGGTGGCTTTCCAGGGACTACAGTCACATTTGCCAGCAAAGGACCCTGACATTCAAGGGCTATTGTTTGATTTTGTGTTACTAGCAACAGACTTCCTGGGACTTTGTGAAGGAAGGAGCTGGACTAGTAGGGGCTGCTTTTCAAGCAGATTCCAAGTGTACGAGATTCTGAGCTGGCTGATGACGATGGCAGGCATTAAAGGGTGGACAGGTTCCAGTTTGTCTGGTGTTGAGAAAAAAATATGCCCTATATCTTAGACAGCCGTGATAAGGTGCCTCCATGGATATGAGTAATGGTCAGACCCAGGGGATGGACAGGCCTAAGAAGTCTGGACAACGGAAAGCCTGGAGCACCGCGACAAGGAAATTCTTCCCCTGAATTGCCTTTTCCTATTGAGATAAGATAATGCACAATAAAGCGTGGGGCTACAGAGAAGTGCTGCCACCACCCACAGCGAGCAGCCTTTGCACAGGCCCAGTGGAGGAGGCACGTAGCCTCCAGGGGGCTGAAGCTGGCCTGCTACCCACGGGATAGAACCATTGACCTTAGATCCTGAGGCAGGTCGTGACTCCCAACACTCACCAGCTGTGGAACTCTGATTCCCATTATTCTTTTTTTTTTTCTTCTTTTTCTTAGTTATGGTGCTGGGGATGGAACCCAGTGCCTTGTGCACGCTAAACACATTCTATACTCCAGTCACCAGCCACACCACCAGTGCCGGAGTCCCTTTATTCTTTTAAAAAAAAAGACTACATGTGTGTGTCTCTATATATGTATATATACCCCTCTTCTACCTTACTGAATGGTTGCAAAAAGTGATAATAAATCATGAAAGGACTTTGTCAACTCCTAAGGGTCACAAAAATATCAGTTATTATCATTACTTACTCAGCATGAGGCAATTATTTCGTAGATATCCCCATTTAAAAGTCCAGTTCCAGATTTCCTTGAAAGTCACCTGGATGTCTGTTAAGGCCGAGTGCATTGTTGGTATAAAGTTGTGTGTACAGATGGATGAACTTCTGAGGAGGCAGGATTGAGACACTGAAAAGCTGGGTCGTCTCTTGCGTGAGCAGAGTGGCAGAGGATGTTTTTGATAGCACCCTAACCAGGAAACAGATTCCCGCGGGCAAGCACTGACTCACGCCACCCCCCTAGTCTCAGTGAGTCAGTAGTGTCCTAGGGGAGTGAGCGCTGGCATCCTGTGCTGCAAGGGAGTAAGCAGGGCCTAGACTCAGTCCCCATGATGGATCAGGGGTGGCAGAGCAGAGCCCATGGAGTGGAAAGGGAGCTGATGCCTTTGGATGGGTCTTTAGGAGGAGGGGACTGAACTGACGGGCAGGTGACACAGAGGATTTTAACTCAGCATAAGGGAGCACTTTCATCTGGTGCCCCCATTACTAGAGTCCTTCCAACACAGTCCCTCACCCTTCCTCTGTAAGGGGAAGGTGCACCATTGCCCAGAATGTTGGGCCAGATGACATAGCAGGGCTCTTTCAACTTACTTTCTAAGTAAGGGCCACAGTTCCAGGGTGACAGGTGAGTTCACTGATTGGCTGTCCCATAGGTCAGGGAAAAGGTCACGGTTACTCAATTTCAGTAACCATCCTCCAAACAGGATTACCTTTTACCTTTTTTGTCTTCCCTATCTCTCTGTCTTTACTCCTCCCATCTTTCTTTTCCTCGTATTCATTTAACTAACACTTTCTGAGAGGCTGCTATTTTCAGGGCAGCCTGCTGGGTCTGGAGGGAGAGAGTGTAAACACCATCCAGTGTTTGACTTCAAGTGTGTCTTGGCTGGTCGGGGGAACAAAATGCCCAAGGTGGAGGTTGGGAGAGAAGGAGACTGGAGACCGGTAGTATTCACCAAGAATAAGACACTTGAACCTGGCTTTGAAAAACAGATCATGGGGCTTGGGTATAGCTCAATGGGAGATCACAAGCTTAGCATGCTCAAGGCTCTGTGGGTTCCATCCCCAGCACCCAGCAACACACACACACACACACACACACACACATGATTTTCCAAGTAGAAAAAGCAAAGGGAAGATCAAGAGCAAAGAATGGACAGGGCTGGGTCTGTAGCTCAGTGGTAGAGCACTTGCCCTATATATCAAGGTCTTGGGTTTGATCCCCAGCGCTGAGGGTAGAAAGGAAGGAAGGAAGCAAGCAAGCAAGCACATGTGTTTTATTGCAGTAGGCCCAGCACACTCCACTACTTTTTCCCCTTGCTTTAATGTCCTCATTTGCAAAATGGGAATAAAATACTTCCCATCTCATAGGCTCATGGTGAAGACTGAAAGTTCAGAGAAAGATGAGAAATACAAGACCAGCAACCCTGCTAGGGGGCTTCCAGGTACCTCTTAGATCCTTCATGCTGGACTGAGATCTATATGGCCTATTGTTCTATAGACATATGTAAATATGTATATTATGGAAATGACTAGAAATATGTATGTAGCCATATAAATATGTTTGTGTATAAAACATGGAAATTTGTTCATATACATATGTGGCTTTATCTGCCTGACTTGATGGTCTCACCATATTCCTAGAATGAGATACATATTTAATATACATGTCTAAATACACAAATAGAAAAAGAAATATTTCTAGTAAATAAACCATATGAAAATGTATCTATTTATAAATACCCACAAATAAGATATATTAATAACAAAATATGAATAATAAAATAAAAGTGCACAGAAAATATAATAGCAGATAGTAAGTGCTGGATAAATGATGGCTATGCTGGGCACAGTGGCACATGCCTGCAATCTCAGTGACTCAGGAGGCTAAAACAGAAGGATTGCAAATTTGAGGTCAGCCTGAGCAACTTTTCGAGACCCTTCTCAAATCAAATAAAAAGGGCTGATGATGTAGATTAGAGTAGAGTGCCCCTAGGTTCAATTGTTAGTGCCATAGAAATAAATAAATAATGTCTATTACTATGAAGATAGCAAGGCCCAGGAGTGGGCTCTGGCACACGGCTGCCTGAGTCCATAATCTAGAAACTGCTCTCTAATTCTGTAATCTGCATACCTATGTTTCCTTTTATACAACGAGGGTGATAATGATTCCATCACAGAACAGTTATTCCATGTTATTAAATGAATGCATGACACACATAGATCAATGCTGGGCAAGTGACACCAAAGAAATCTGAGCAGTTATGATCACCTTTGCTGTGACTCCTCATTACCTCATGGTATCACTATCACATACTGGTCCTATTCTGTCTTCAGCTGGCACCCTCTGGCTGCTCAAGCAGCCTATCAGGACAACTGTGACCCTTGGAGAGATCACCCCTCCTCCTTTACTAACCTTGGCTAAGGGAACCCCTGCTTAGACTCCTAATATGCAGTTCACCTGCACAGCCTCCTCCCAGCTGGCCCTGGAATGCTAGGTCAGACGTGATTCCAGCCCCACCAGCTCATGGAACCAAAACCTGTCTAGCCTTCTCCTTCCCAGAGATCCATCCTAGGGGCTGCAGCTTTTCTTGGCCATCCTGGAATCTGTAGGGTCCAAGGACATTCCTTCCCCTAGATAATGCATCCATTGTTTTAAAGGAGATGACCATGGTAGGTGGTGGGATCCCCACACCCCATTCTGTTCAGAAGATTGTTCCCCATGGCTCCTGGTGATGATTCTCATAAAGGAGATTCCTCAAGCAATTGCCAGGTGCTAACACCTACACTTCTGATGGAGCCACTGTCTGAGATTCCAAGGCAAGTTTTTGCTTCCATAGAGAAAGGAGAAAATCCCACTTGTCTATCCCCTGCTTAGAAACCATAGTATGTATAATTTTCAAAAACCCCAAGCATGATTCTCATATTCCGCCAAGATAGAGAATCACTAGGTAGGAAGATTGAGACTTCATGGTTATTAAAACACAAGTGGCTGTGCACGTATCATTTGAGGCTTCATCCCTTAGAATATTGCAATCCTCAAATATTGGAGCGACATTGATTCTTTGGGATTAGCTGCTCAATGATTCTCAAACTCGGGCAGTAGAATCCCCAGAGTGTTGTGTTTATAATATGGATTCCCAAGTTTTAGCTCAGCTTCCCATCAGTGACACTGGTTCAGTAGATTTTGAGGGTGGAGGAGTGGGGAGAAAGCCCATATCCTATTGAGGTGCCATGGTGAGGGACGCTGAGTGGGGAAGGCATGGGCTAGGTGGGTGGAGGGCTGCCCCTGCAGTCCTGCCTAGGCAGGGAGTCAGGAGAGGCAGCAGTAGCATCTCAGACAGAATCAGATGTGAGAGTTGTCATCAGAATCTGGAAACAAATGCAGTTCTCAAAGTTAAATCACAAATCGCTTGCCAAATAATAAAGTGTTCCTGTCTAGCTATCAGGGTATATTTTCAGATGGAAGAAAAAGTATGTCCAAAGCAGGATCCCAATATCAGAACCCTCTGTGGGAGCGGAGGTAAGCCCCTGGGAATGCGATGGGAAGACAATTGCTGCCAGTGGTCATGAGGAAAGCCTTGTGCTCCAATGACCTCATGGCTCTTTTCTGTCGCCGGTGACTGGACACTCCCTTCCCCTCTGCCCACCTCCACCCACAGGCATATCAGACAGATGACCACATGAGTGCAGGGGAAAAGTGTTCCCCATCGATAACACGTTTTCTCATGTGCTGCTGCCCCCACCCCCAGCCTCGTCTCCCGAATAGCTCGAATAGCTCGTGATGGCAGACAGAGCAAGAGGAAGCGAGCAAGGTCACCCAGAGCTCATGCTCTCTTTCCCTGGAGATCCAGGATTTTTTCCAACCCCTCATACTAGGGATCAAAAACCCAGGGGCACTCTACCACTGACATATACTCACAGCCCTTTTAAAATTTTTATTTTGAGACAGGCTTTTGTTAAATTGCCCAGACTGGCCTAGAACTTGCAGTTCTGCCTCAGACAAAGCAGCTGGATTACATGTATGCACCAGATTCAGGCATTTTTGACAAGTTGCATAAGGGCAAATACCTGATCATGCCTTGAATTCCTCCCATGAAACCTTTACCTGGACAGCTTAGGTCACATCTATCCCCTGAATGACTGGGTGTGATTTTGTTTTTTCTGAGGAATTTTCACCATGAGAATAGTCCCACATCTCCTCAGAGGGGTCAGAAAGGCTGCCTGGCCAGCTGTGAAGCAGGGAAGAGCTGAGGCCAAGGAGGCTCAAGTGCTTCCACCTGCAGAACCCACGGCTCTGGTGGAACCTCCACTGTATCTTAGCATTAAGGTGGTGAGTGACCCTGAGGTGTCTCCCTACCCTACTCCTTCAGAGTTAGTGACAGCTCAAATGGCAAAGCCAGGCCTGCTCACCAGTCCCAGCCAAATGCAGAGGTCACCCAAAAAAGTCCTTCCCCCCATGTCATCATGCTCTGGAACCTCTGCCACTTGCCTGCCCTCTCGGGCCTCCTACTTGGCTAAATATTTGGGAACTGAAACAATAGCTTCACTAAAGCAGTGGTGGGCAGTTACTGGAAGGTCATGTGATTGTCCGAATTGAACCAATTTGTCAAAGACCATTTTCCTTTCACTCATCGCCTCTCCCACACCCCATGATAAGATAGGGTCCCCAGAGCACAATAATCCTTTCCTGAGATACAATTTAGAGGCTCCTGAGAAAAGAAACAACAGTGAGGCTAATTTTGGCTTTTCTGAGACTAAAGAAAAGCTCACAGGCAGGCCCTGTCCTGCTGGAGGAAGCCGGGGTGGGCCTCCTTTCTCCCTCAAGGGTATCTGCTGGGATCCCAGGGGACTGAGAACAATGCCAGGGGATAGGAGGGGAGGATGGGAACTGAGCCTTGGCCCTGGCTGCTTTGGAGAGATCTCTGAAATGACAGCCCAAGGCTTCAGACTTACATTTTTCTTTAATTGCCAACTCCTTATCATCCCTCCACCAACTAAATTATTAATGAATTAAGAGTTGGGGATTCCTTACAGACCCACCCAGGGTCCTGATGCTCTTCAGAGCTTTGTGAATCCCCTAGAGTTTTGGGGTAAAGTTGGCATACATCAGAATTTTTTTTCTGGGGTATTTCTGGTTATTTCGAAGGGATCTGTGATCAAAAAAATGTATGTGTCTCTGGGAAGAGAGACCCCCATCCCCGGCAGAGCTCTTGTCCTTTCGGTTGATGCCAGTCAAATGTCAGTGTACTTTAGAGTCATCTGAATATACGGTTGAAGTGTAGATTCGGATTCAGTAGGTCTGGATGAGGCTCACTGTTAGCACAAAAAAGATCAGGCCAGACGCAAACGTCACGGGTCAGCTCAACTCCTTATTCAGGAACAAAGTTTCATGCAGGAACAGGGTATGCAGGAATGGGGTGACACACCTCTGATGGACCCACTCTCCTGGTAGAAAATTGAGCCACTGGCCAAAAGGGAAGTTTGGGCTTATATAGGTTATACTTTGAGGTAACCTAATTATTGCCAGAGCGTGTCTAATGGAGGGTCCAGGGTCAGCAGCCAGTGGACCAGATGGATGGTCTTGAATCCTTCCAGGATCTCATTGTACTATTACTGAGAAAGAACTTATTTTGGGAAGGATTAGTATTTCAGCTTCTTCCCAGAGAAAACTAGTCTAGGCTTGGATGGATATTTCCTCCCCAGGGCTTGTCTTGTCACTAGGAAAGAATGCATTGGAAAAGATCAATGCTATCAATGTATGGCTTTCTTTTTTACTCTGTTTTCCCAGGCTGCAGTATTTTGGAGTTTTTCATTCATATCCAACACTCACAAGTCTGCATTTCTGACTAACTGATGGTGACTCAGAGACTGCTTATATGCAGATGGCACTTTGAGTAGCAAGGCTTGAAGGCAAGCAGATCTGCTCACCCTGATCCTATACTATCCTATACAGTAAGTCCACCCTTCTTATTGCCACCAGAGGGACCTCAAGGCATCTCCTTATTGCCACCAAAGGGATATCAAGGTCTTCCTTAAGCTTGTTCTCCATTGTATCACTCCTGAGCAATGAATTCCATCATGCCAGACTACATAAGCATCAGGACTTGGAAGTCAAATCAGTGTCTGAATCCTGCTTCTGATGTTTACTAACTTTGTGACCATCTGAACTCCATTTCCTTTAGATGTAAAATGGGAATAAGAATACCTACTAGGAGGACCAAATGAAATAGTGGATGTAAAGCATTTAGCTTTCACATAGTAAAGTTCAATGAACAGGAATGTGACTTAACCATGACATGCCCTAGAATTTCCATTTGCTTACAATTCCCTGGTTAGACTCTTCTCCCAGGACCCTTTCTCTGATGCCTCAAACCCTCCCTGGACCCTTCATCACCATTTATTCTTTCGCCTTAATTATAATACTGTGGGTGATTCATTTATATTCTCCGACTGCAACAATGCCCATACTTTGGAGCACATATTAATAATATTCGCTAGTAAAGTTAAAAAAACTGAATGACTTCTATTTCTTTTTGTTGTGTGTGTATATAACATACCTATAACAACTATGCCTTAGCTACAGTGAATATATATGCTGGTATATTTGTGTCTTCTCTAAAATTTATGTTGAAATTTAGCAGCAACAGTGTTAATCTGGGCTATGGGTGAACTCAATGATAGAGTGTCCACCTAGCACACCTGAGGCCCTGGATTTGATCCCAAGCACTGTAAAAAATAAATAAGAACTTTAAAAGCCTAAATGATCAGTAATTATGGGGTAGGAATGTAGTTCAGTGGTAGAACATTTGCCTAGCATGCACCAAGTCCTGGGTTAGATACTCAGTGGAAGGAAGGAAGGAAGGAAGGAAGGAAGGAAGGAAGGAAGGAAGGAAGAGGTGGGCATTTAGGGGGTGATTAGGCTTTGAGGGTGTTGTCCACATGAATGGGATCAGTGTCCTTAAAAAAGGATTGGAGGGAACTAGCTAAGTCCTCATTCTGCCCTTCCATTTCCTCTGCCACAGGAGAAGGTGGTATCCATCCCTTTTGCCCTTCCATCCCTTCTATCACATGTGGACACCTAGCACCATCTATGAGGAAGAGCCTTTAACGGAAACCAAACCTGCCAGCATCTCCATCTTGGACATCCCAGCCTCCAGAACTGTAAGAAATAAAGTCCTATTGTTTATAAATTATCCAGTCTCAGGTATTTTGTTACAGTAGCATAGACTATGAATGTGTATCAACCTATAATTGAAGAGGTTAGTTTGGTGATTTCTTTTCTCCTAAATTAATTTAGTCTTCAGTATTGTCTATTACTTCTGTTATTGTCTATTACTTCTATTGTCTATTAGGTTGCAGATCTCAAGAGAATAAGTAGTTCAGCATGGGCACTACTTTATACAGGAATCAATTCACTCAATAAATGTTTGTGGGCATCATGCAGGTACTGGATACAATAGATGAGAACTGTGAAGATCATCCATTTGTTTTGCAACAACACAGGTGCAAGTGGCCTTCCTTGGCTCCAAGATAGTTTCTGCCACCCAGGAGGGGACAAATTCATGCCATAACCTTCCTCTGTATGCCATTCTATGCCTTCAGAGAGCCCACAAATACCAAGAGGCATCACTCTGAAATGATAAGGGAGATTCTGACTTTCTCCAAAGCTCCACAGCAGTTGTTGACTTAGGCAAAGAATCCCTGGCTCTGTTTCTCAACTCCTGGGTGCTTTGGGCAGAATATTTCAGTTCCCTGAAAATTAATCATTGTGGCTATTTGTGTTCCCATCCAAATAATAATAAAGACCCTCTCTCACCAGGCACAGTGACTGGAGCATGCCTTTAATCCCAAGTACTTGGGAGGTTCAAGTAAAAGGATTGTAAGCTCAAGGTCAGCCTGGGCCACGTAGTGAGACCCTGTCTCAAAAATAAATATGTAAAATTAAATGAAAATAAATAAAAATAAAAGGACTGGTGATTTAGCTCAGTGGTAGAACACTTACCTAGCACAAGCAAGGCCCTAGGTTCAATCCTGCAAAATAAATAAATAAACAAATAAATACCCTCATTCAGGCAGTCTGTACAGCTTATGAAGATCTTTCACACAAATTAATAAGAATCAGCATCATCATAACCCTGACAGGTCGACAGGGCTCCAGATCCCCCCCCCCCACATCTTTTTTTTTTTTTTTATTGTTGTTTGGTACTGAGCATTGGATCAGGGGTGCTTTACCACTGAGCCATATCCCCAGACCTTTTTATTTTTTATTTTGATATAGGGCCTCCCTAAGTTGCCCAGGCTGGCCTTAAATTTGGCCTTGAATCCTCTTGCCTCAGCCTCTCAAGTTAATGGGATCATAGGAATTAAGGGATTTATCTAAGGTCAGACACTTAAAACCAGAATACAGACATACTTACTACTGATCTATGAAACCTTTCTGCTGTTACAGGATCTTGAATCACAGCTAGAAAAAGAGCAGAAAAAAAGAAGAAGAAAGGCCCCCAAACCCTATGCTTGTTCTTGGTGGGTTTTCAAAAGGAAATGTAGGGATGAGGTGAGGTCCTGCAGCCGTGGAAGGCACAGGTAGAAGGGAGGGTGGCTCTTGTGTCTTTAAAATGGTCCTTAGACTATCTTCCAGTTTTGTCCCTTGCTCTGAACTCCAAAGTCTGCAGTCAGGCCTAATGAAGATTTCTAGTTGACTGGGGAAAGAAAATGGTCTCTGCCACATGAACTCAGGCACTGAGGCAGACACAGGTATCCTTCTTGGAAGACAAGTGAGCCAAGGTAGGAGTAGGTTTTCTTGGTAGGTGTACCTTTCTGTAGCCATTTTTCATCAGTTGTCCCTCAATATTTTGTGGAGCTGTATTTAGTTGGGAGTTAGGGACCCTTTGTTTAGTATTAGCCTGTGTGTTATTTGGTACTGATTTAGGAAAAAAAAAAAAACTGTCAGTGGGATATGTGGATACTGAGGATTGAACCGGGGCACTTTATCACTGAGCCACACCCCCCAGTCCTTTTTATTCGTTATTTTGAGACAGGATTTCACTAAGGTGCTGAGAGTCTCACTAAGTTGTTGATAGCCTCTGTGTTATTGGGATTGCGAAAGAGAAGGGGATTCTCAGGAAATCGGAGTCAGCACATGATCCAGCTCTCTCTTCCAGTGTGGAGATGGCCCTCCATTGCTACTTTTAGGATTGAGGATGGATTTTATTGAGAAAAGCTGGAAGAAATAGTGATTTCTCAAAATCACTCTTAGGTACCTGCCGCAGTCTGTCTGGCTGCAGCAAAATAACCGGGGGGTGACGAATAACTTGTGTATGTTGATACAGCAGGAGTGGGAGCCGTTTATTGCAGGACAGGAGCAGTATTTATACATTCCACAGAGCTTATCTAATTAGCATAAACTAGATACATCAGTCAACCAATAAGGAATCTCCACACTTAATGGCTTGTTTTTGTTACTTCTCAAACCACTCCCTCAGGCATTTTGCCAGGCACCATCCAGACTTGTTTACGAACTCTAACATTCCCCTGGCAAAATGCCAGGTGTTATTTTTGACTTGTTTACAGACTCTAACAGGTACCTTTCAAGGATTGGGGGTCATAGTCCCTGCCCTGCTACCAAATAACAGTGACTTTGGTTCAAGACCTATACCTCAGCCTCTCTCTGACAAGAGCTGTATATCCTGAAAGGTTAAAAGATTCTCAGTTCTGAATGCACGTTTGAATCACCTGGGGAGTTTTATAAAAACTCAGAGAAGAGTATATATATATACTTATATATACTCAGAGAAGAGCCCCACCCTCAGTTTCTTCTTCAGTTGTTCTGGGTGAGGCAGGGAAGTTTTTACAAACTCGCCCAGGTGATCTATAGTACAGTCAGGGTGGAAAACTGGCAGGGTAGGACAATCTCTGAACTCTTCTAAGGAGATGGAAAATCCAGAACCTAGATTTTCAGCTGGCCTGCTTTTCACAACCCACCATGTGGTCTTTCCAGGTTTTAACTTATTATTTATTTTCTCAGACACCATCTTGCTCTTTTTTTCCCAGCCTCTAGACTCCAGGCTGGGGAAAGATTAGAGCAAACAGAACTGCAGTATTCACTGGTCAAGTCCCTTATTTTATAGCAGCAGACCTCCAGGGAAGCAATATGTTCTAAGGCAGAGCAAGGGGTGTCCAGCCTCCCTGCACTCAAGCCATCGTCCCTGCCATGATGCCCTGGGCACTGGAGGCTGTCAGGGGAGTTACAGGTGAGTGGAATAGTTCACTTTGGTCCCGAGTTCCCATAAGCCTCTCATCTAATAGTGCTTTGGAGTTTGGAGATACTACCTCATTCCTTCTTCAGTTTAATCACTACATGTCCATTCCCTAGAGAGGTAGCATTATTACCTACAGATGTAAAACTACAGGTGGAAAGTTGAGACTTGTCCAGGTCACAGTGCGATAACAGCAGAGGCTGTGTAATGGAAACGGGCCCTTGTTTTCCTAGAGGAAAATCCCTTCCTTTTCACCCTGACTTAGTTGTTCTGCAGTGCTGGTCTTAGCTGCAGTGAGCTCCATTCGTCACAGAGTCATACCTGTCTGAGGTGACTTCTGCTCTCCTACCATGCCAGGAAGAAGAGAGAATGCATTCTAGAACACTTCCTAACAGGCAGCTGTGCATCTGTTTTCGGCAACTCGTACCTCTCTTGTGTTTACTAAGCTTTTTCACATGTTGTTCCCTGCCTTTGTGTCCTGGCTTAAGCTATCTTGGTCATCCCTGGCTGCACCATTCTATCCGGAAAGCCAAAATGGCAGGAAAGCTCCCACCCAGGGGGTGGAAGAGGTGATGAGAAGGAAAAATATTTGGCTTCCAAGTTGTCCTGTGGGTCAGTGGAACAGCTGCAGAGGTACTCCAGTGTTTAGCCATGATGTGCCAAAGCGAAAGCCCCAGCAGGCTCGTGCAGAGCAGGTGTATTACCATCCATTCACACTCAGGACCTTTTGATTACAAAGGAGAAGAAGACTATTGTCATCTAAATTTTCTGTCATGTACATTTGCTTTGAGCTTTGCCCAGTGCAGAATCATTTCTGAAGCTTGCGTGGTTTCATTTCCCCTTCCTGGTCTGCTCTAAATCCATGAGTGGCCACAGACAATGTAGGTCCAGAAACTGGGCATCTAATGGTTATGCAGCCAGCAGAAAGTACACTCTGCCCAGTGATGGCCCTTTGTGTGATTATTTTTTGAAGGTGCAGCTGGTGCTTTCCTCTTGGAAAACTATGAACTCTCCACCATGTGGAAGGTTATTTGGGCTGATGGGAAATCTGATAGTGCAGGGACATCATTTATAGGTCTGTTGTCTGGAACATCGAGTACAATGAACCACCTCAGTAAGGCCTGGGCCTTTGCCAGCTGTCAGTCCTTTAACATTTTGTCAGTACTGCTCTGATCTGGCTTTAACTAACTGCTGTCATGCCAAGAGTGTCGACCAGTCTCCAAGATGAGCCCTAATAATCCATACATCTTGGTTTCCTTGCCTCATGGGGAGCACTGATCCATGTAGCCAATAGGATATTGCAACCTGATAGTGTGACTTCCTAGATGAGATTTTTTTTTTTTAATTGCAGCTTCCATCTTGAGCCTTTGAATTGTTCCCTTTAGGGGAAACCAGCTGCCATGTTGTAAGGAAACTCAAGCAACAATATGGAGAGACCATGATATAGAGAGGAACCAATTTACCAGCTTGAACTTGCGAGGCAGATGAGGGAGCCGTGTCCGGAAGTGAGTCCTCCAGCCAGTTAAGCCTTCAGATGATTCTAGTCCTTCAGCTTTTGGAACTTGGCTGAGTTCTCAGATATCATGGAAGAGAGACAAGTTTTCCTACTATGCTCCATCTGAGTTCCCAACCCATATGAATAATGGGATAATAAACCATTGTTTTATGTCACCAAGTTGTGGGGCAGCAGTAGATGACTCCAGCCTAGTTACATATGGATATGAGCCACCCCCCTTTCTAAAATAATCATTCAAAGATGGATTCTTCTAGACCTACATTTTAAACTGCATTCATTTATTCTGAGAATTCCTAAGAGACGTCTTCTGACTCAAGTTCCAAGGAAGACTCAAATGCACTTTGCTCTTGGAAGAAGCCATGGAGTCAATTAAAGAGGCCCTTCTTGAACAAATAAAGCAGTTAGTACTTTCCACTTCTTCCCACCAAACATTTCTTAGCCAGTGAAATCTGACTTTGGTCTTTACCACACCTTTGAAAATATCTTCTCTTTAATCCTCATCTCTAACTACAGGAACCTGACTTTAAACTCTCCTGGACCTACTTGGTTTGCCTTTTCTTTGACTTCCCTAATACCAACCTCCTTTGTTCCTCTGCTACTTCCTCTATTTTACTGGCAAAGCCCCTTCCAATTCTTTCCATCCTAGACTTCCTGCAAAAGTCAGCCATTTTCTCTTTGTGACTGAAGAGAACTGAACTACCTTGGAAGGCAGTAAGCTTCCTGTCCCTGCTGGTTAGGAAAAACAAAGTGGCCACCTAGAAGGGCAGCATGAGAAGGACTCAGTGGCCTCTGAAGTGCTATTCAAAAATATAATTCTGTAATTATTGAAAGATTTACATCCCAAGATAACTTTAAGAGTATTTAAGACCAGTTATATTGACTATGGGATAGGTCAATCATAATCCCAGAATTGAAATGCATCATAAGAGAGCCAAAGATGGAAAGGATCTTTGAAATCAGCTATGTGGTCTTGTCTACTCTTAAAATTTTAACTCCTCCTGTAGAGATGATTCCCATCATTTTCTCCTGACTGGACCTGTTTTCCAGGAACCAGTCTCAAGTCCCTGCCATGTCTGTTCCATTCAGCCTGCTATAACAAAACACCATACATTGGTGGCTTATTAACAACAGATTTATTGCTCACAGTTCTGGAGGCTGGCAAGTTCAAGATCAAACTATCCAAGATACCAGCAGACTCAGGGTCTGGTGAGGGCCCATTTCCTGGTTCATTGCCTTCTTGCTGTATTATCACATGACAGAAGAGAGCTAGCTAGCTCTCAGGGCCTCTCTATAAGGGCACTAAGCCCTCAGAATCACTCCCAAAGTTCCTACCCTCCTAATGTCATTACCCTACAGGTCAGATGTCAACATATGAATTTTGTGCATCTGTCCCCAGATGGGTCTCATCCCTCTCAAACTCCCTTTCTTCTCCCTCAAACCTATTCCTCCTCCTGACTTCCTCACCTCATTTAAGTCTACAGTCCTCTCAGCAAATCCCCTTAGAACCATTCTTGTCTCTTCCCCCTGACCTCCTAATCTACATTTGATCAGAGTCTAACACTTGTCCATTCTTTCTCTTTAATACCCCCATCACACACACACACACACACACACACACACACACACACACAGAGGATTTATTAAAAATAATTAACCCATGTGTTTATGGAGGGAAGGTCTTGTTTGACCTCCTTCTTCCCTCCGCCCCAGTTTTATATAAATGAGAAAATTAAGGCCCAGAAAACAAATGACTAACTAAATCAAAGAGATGCAGCTTAATACAAGGAAAGTTTCAGGTCAAATCTGCAACCTGTAGGCATGCTCTATCTTCTTTGCAGCTCTCTTTAGCAAGTCTGCCTAACAATTTCTGGAACTGTCCCAGGAGGGGAAAATGGAAACAATTAAACCTTGACAAATGACAGCTTCATCAGATGTGATCTAAACACAAAGAACTATAAGGAACTCAACTGCTGAAACTCTTCGATAACATCAAGGAAAAGGAGTCATTTCACATAAATCTCAGGGATGATGTCATCTAAACATACAAGTAGTTAGTGGAAGTTCCAACTCATCATGAAGGAAATGATTCTTATAAATAGTTTGATCTGGAGATACTGTTTGGCGTCTTAAAAATCATAGACTCTGGAAATAGGCAGACCTACCACATAAGCCATGCGATCCAGAGCATACTCACCCAGCTACTATCAGGCAGAGTCAATGCCACTCTCTAATCTGTTTCCTGGGAACTTCATCCTGGAGGCTACTGCAGCATTTTTGCACATTAAAGTATACTAAATTTGATGGAAAATAAAAAATAAAAATAAAAATCATTTTTTCCTGATGAAACAATAAACATGGTCATTGTAAAACTTCAAATAATACAGAGAAGTTTGAAAATGAGTTACCAGAGGAATGGAAGGGTAAGTGGAGGAGAGACAACTTTAAGTAAATACTGAGTGAAACCTGGAGTTAATGGTCCAGGGGAGGAGGAAAAAGAGGTCAGCAATAAGGAGAATCCAAGAGAATGAGCAAGTGGAAAGGGGGTTTCTTCCGAGTCTGGTGGGGCTTGGTGAATGCCCAGTTGGACTCTCTTGCAATAAGCACCAGACTTAACCTTCAATAACAAAGGTGAGATGAGGGTTGGGTTGATCCTCAATTTCAAGGAGCAGAATCCATGCTATTGGTGTATTTTTTTCCTTAACCACTGTGGTACAGAAGCTCATCATCAGATACTTGAAAAACAGATCCTCGCTGGGAACAGTGGCTCACACCTGTAATCCCAGGGGCTCAGGAGGCTGAGGCAGGAGCCAGTCTCAGGAATTTAGCAATGCCCTAAGCAACTCAGCAAGACCTTGTATCTAAATAAAATTTTTAAAAAGTGCAGCGGATGTGGCTCAGTGGTTAAGCACTCCTGGGTTTAATCCCTGGTATGAAAAATAATAATAATAAAAGACCAGAAAATCTCACCATCTAGAGATAATTGTTGCTAACATTTTAATGATTATCATTGAATTATTTTTCCATGCACATTTATTTATACTCACATATCCACAGTTTTGCAAAATTCGGGAAAGAGTATAAACGCAGTTTTGTCATAGTCTTCTTTTCACTCATTGATTTGTAAAGATCTACATTTTCATTTTGAACAGTGCATAGTAGTCCATTGAATAAATAAACTTTAATTAAAAATACTGGATTAATGGAGATTAGGTTATTCGTCGTTTTTCACTAATTTGGGGGGTTATTTCCTGTTTTAAGGAGAGCAGTCCCTTGGTCCTCTTGGTAGGGTTAATCATCCTGGAACACTGTAAGTAGCTTGTTTCTCCAGTGCAGTACAGGGTAACTATGGGGCTGAGGAGAGCAGGTGGTGAGAAGTTCCCTTGTCTCCCCTGAGGCCTCTGGAACTATACTCCAGGGGAAGGCCTTAAGGATATATCAGAGCCTGGAGCCCCACCTGACCCTGGCTGACATCCAAGTC